CATGAGTCCTCCATGTGCTGCCCCAGTCACATGTGCTCAGTGGCCTACTAACTGCTGTAACTCTGTGCTGCCTCCAAACCACAGCCCTCATCTTTTGTCATCTTACATCCCATGTGTCAAACTCAAGGCCCGCGGGCCACATCCGGCCGGTGTACGATTTAATGGCCCGGCGATATGAAACGCCGATAACACAAACTACAAATCCCATAATGCAGCGCAACAGCTGCCTTACCGAACGATTGGCTACCTGCGATCATTCCTGCATCAATTACGTCAGATCAATCAAGCGTCTGTTGATGTATACAACCCTAATTTCAAGTCAAAGCCTTTAACAATAGCCAAGAGAAAAGTTGATTGTGAAAACAGAGCCTTTCTAAACCGGTGGGAGGCTGAATATATGTTTACTGACATTGTCGGTAAACCCGTGTGTCTTATTTGTGGAGCTAATGTGGCTGTAATTAAGGAATATAACCTAAGACGGCACTACGAGACAAAACATCAGGACAAGCTGAGAAACGTGATGCAGAGCAGAAGCTACAGAAGGTAGAGGAGTTGAAGAGGAATCTGACATCACAGCAGACGTTTTCACCAAAGCTAAATCACACAGTGAAGCTGCTGTGAAAGAAGTTTTATTGGAGCAGAGGAGAAAATCAGGCCGGACATTTACCGAGGGAGAGTTTCTGAAGAGCTGTATGATGAAAGTGTGCGACGTCTGGTGTCCAGACAAAAAGCAGGTGTTTGTTAATGTAAGGCTTAGCAGAAATACGGTTGGCGATTTTAAGTTCAAGTTTATTTATTTTGGAATAATAATGTATCCTGTCTGTTTCGATTCACATTTATGTTCAAAAAACGTTTAGTTTTAGTCTGTTCAATAAATGTTTATCCTGTTCGGCCCCGACCTAAAGTGTGCTTTGAGTTTTGGCCCCCTGTGCCATTGAGTGTGACACCCCTGTCTTACATGGACCAGGAAACCCCGAGAAAGTCAACAGGCCACAAAGTGGGGCAGGTTTTGTTTGGTGCACTGGGTTTTAATTAGACCCAAAGCCTACAGTCCGCAGCACTGATGCATCATGCGTGAAATGACTCCTTTAAAAAAATCTGTTTTGATAAATGAAGCCATCCTATTTAGGTCGCGCATGGCTCTGCTGCTGTGCGCCTGCCTGTCCTTTGTTATGGCGGGGCCAGGATTTATTTGGTGGGGTTTTGATTCTGCCTTTCTAGTCGGTGCCGCGCCTCCCTCTCACGGGGCCGATGTGACCTACATTCGTCTCTGGCACAGAGACCCGGAGTGCGCACCAACCAATTGGCAGCGGCTGCTCCGCAGCAAAGCGCAGCGTTGCTTCAGGTTTCCGCCGATTGCATAACCTGCCCTGTTTTCAATCCATTTTAACGATCTAACTCCTTTATTACGCAACCTGCATAACCCCTCCAATGTTTACTACACGTATCTACAGAGGCGGAACACAACTTCCAGGCAGTGGCTCCACTGAGGGGAGGCTGACCTGACACTCGGACACCTCCGGAAACCTTTTAAAGTCCTTCTATGTCAATTAGTATATGAATATAAGCTGTTATTGCATGTGTCACTGCTGAAGCTACGGGAGGAGGGGGTGCGTATGCCCACGTGCAGGGTGGAAACCACAAAGCCGGCGTTAGAAATAAAGACAGTTTGGTCTCCCCAAACAAAATGTGCAACCCCACAAAGTGCCTGGTGCGTTTGTCGCCCATACGTGGTGGCAGCATGTTCGCCTGGACCTGTGCTGCCTGCGCTTCCGCTGAGAAAAGCTTTGGGCGCAAAGAGAAGAGAGGAGCGCGCACCACCGACATAGCAGCGCAGTGAGGAACATGCTGCCCCGCGTGTCTCCTTTGTTGCTCCGTCCTCATGCATATTTAATCTGATCCTCTGTCATCCGACGCGACTGCGTGGCTCCAACTGTGGATGACATTCACCCACTGCCTAAAACAGTCTGCACATTTTCATCTGCTGTGCTACCATAATGCATGTTACATCTGACCCAGATGTTCGGATCCACACGCACCTGGCAGCGGCTGCTCTCGTCAGACCCAGTGAACTCCACCGTTCTTCGTCCTTTCTATTTCTGGCTCCCAGGGCTCCGGGCCCAGGTTGTAAACAAAGAGGGCAGAAGTGGAAACGGTCCGCAGGTATCCAGGGCGCAGGATCACGCCCGTCGGTCCGCTCCGGTTTGTGCTGAGCTCCTCCTGACTGCCGAGCTACCGACGGGTTAACCCGGAGCGCTGCACAGCGCACAGCGCGTTAACCTTTACAAAGAGCTGCTACACGTGACGGAGAGAAGTGTGTCCGCGGAGCCTGCTTGGGATTTTTCCAGCTGTGTGCAGCAGCCACACTGACCCCAACGAGCCCCGGTAGTAGTAACAGTAACAGCCTAATAATGTTAACATACCTGCACTTAGCTGAGCTGCGTGTGGTACAACTGGAGGTGTATTACTGAAGCGACACCGGGGTAAACTGGGGTAAACTGGGGTACACTGGGGTACACTGGCCCCAAAAGCCCCACGACACACTGGAGGACCCAGCCTCGTTCCAACTCTGGCGCCGCTTCAGAGCACGTCCAACGCATACGTGCGTTTCCACCACGGCATCTATTTCTGAAGGAATCCCATAACCTCTGACTACCCCCCATACCCCTCACACAGCTCCATCAAACGCACCCCAGCACCAAAACAAACACGCATGGAGCAACGCACAGGAGGAGCCTGTTTTATATCCACCAGCTGATACGAATGTGCCGATGCAGTTAATAATAACTCAGACTCACCCCTTGTTCGTCAAAGGCCACAATCCACAGAGATGCACGCGGTCCTGTACGCGTCCAGCAATCCGTTTTGCGCATCGGCACACACTCGCACACACCGTCCGCCACTTTCAGAGCGCCAGCTCTCCCGTTAGTGCGGGTGTATGCGGGAGCGTGAACACAGTGCTCCTGTTTTCAGCGCACCGCTCATGTCGTGTTTGCTCCGGCTCGTCCCTCTCTCTCTCTGCTTCTCTCTCCGAGTCTCTAAATGTATGTTAGTGGGTCAGTTGTTGCATAACAGGACGCTTTGGGTGCCTAGTCACGTTTTTGTTTCTCTCTCGGCTCTGCCCCCTCTTCTTCTTCTATGACTTAAGGCAGTGTGCACCACTGCCCTCCGCTGGTATCTAATGGGAAAGAG